AAAAAACGACCGAGCCAAAGTGGCAACAGTGTTAGAAAAATATCCAAAAGTAATCGACCTATCAAAATTACCAGACAATATTTTAGAAAAACTTAAAAAACAATATTATTACTATAATCTAAAATATAACAATAATGGACAAGCGTACCAGATAAAGATACGACAAACAAATGAATTTCAAGTTACACTTGTAACAATCAGATTCTTAATGATCGAATACAAAGACCTTACCCTTATCTAGAAATAACCTGTAATACTAATCCGGCCACCTAAAACTTAACCTTAGCCCTAGCAATGTATATACCCGGATACAAGAGTCAGCAGTTTTTGATTTTTTACTGTAGTGTTTTTTTCTTATGACCGCATTCCATTTCTATATAAGGCAATTGGTAAACTGCATTATTAGGTCATATTTTAATATTTTGTTTTTTTTTTTTTGACCTTTGTAATATAAAAGTTTAAGAATTTTTTGCTCTCAAATCTTGGATGGGTATTCAAATCATGGTTTTCTTTTACTATCATGCAATACATTAGCAGGGTTTCATTTTTTCGGTAAGGAAAACGATTATATCATATAAGATGAATGATCTCTGTTTAGAGAATATGATATTCACACAAAAAAAAATTTTTCGTATAATATTACCAATAATACTAATTATCGGTGAATGAATTTAAGCTCGCATGACGTACGTACATGATTTTGGTGGCGATACTAGGTGAATTGACATAAAAAGGTCACATGAAGATAAGCAGTGGAATTCGGATATTCATGATTTATTTATTAGGCATTTAATTTTTTAGAGGAATTTGAAAGTATACTGTATGTTATCCTCAACCAAGGACGAAGCAGGCACTTGATTTTACAGTAAGCTTAGCTATAATCTTGGTGCTTATATTATAAATCTGACGTTTGTGCTAATAATTTAATGCCTGCACCTAAATCTTAGCGCGTGCAATGAAGCCTCAAACGTAATAACGCCTATTGAAGGTAAGGTTAATACGACTATGATAGACGTACAATTAATTAAGGTAGGTGAAAACTTAAAGAATTAGACAAATAAGGAAGTGAAACACTCAGGCAAAAGTTATTAAGTTTGGTTTCTTAAATTTATCTATGCAAAACTTTTATAGGATTAAGTTTCAACTTCTGATATATCTTTGTGTAAAAAATAAAAAAAAACTAATCTCACTTCTCATTTTGGATTTTTTTGTGGACATTACTTATTTCAGATATCGGAACAATTTCTTTTTTTTTTTTTATACTTAATTAAAAAAAGATAAACGATACCCGAAACGTAAATCAGATTTTGATAATAAGAGAAATTTAAAGTCATGATCATTGATATACTAGCACTAGTAGATCAGTAAGTTTAATTTGTCTGAACCACTAATAAACCTCTATTTGCGCATCTAACTCTAAATTATTGAGAATATTCTTTGTTCATCCTTAACAATTTTAGTTAATTATGTTTTTCTCGTTTTTTTATAAATTCACTTTGCCATTATCAATTTATTTTTTAACCAATTTTTTTAAAAAAATCTGCCATTACAATTTCCGGACAAGGAAACTTCACGGATAATTTATAAATTATGATTAATGATCAAAACATTCCAGGATTATACGTCGTTTTGCCGACCGGTTTAATATTTGCAATATTGGATTTAATTTGTTCGATTTATGTGATCGCAAGGTCATTGAATCGATGGCTAGTAACAAAAAAAAATCTGACAATGGCTTATAAAGTTCCTTTATACATTGCCATTTCTGGTGTGTTATCATTTTCTGCACTCTTCGAAATCTGTATATTCGATTATATAATTGCAATCCTTTTAATATTTTGTTAAATTTCTCTAGACCTGCTTTTAGTATGCAATAACGTAACAAATCTTGTAATTATTCCCTAAAATAATTCTTCAAATATATATATGTGTGTATATATTGTGGTTTGTTAACATATTTCTTTACTGCATAGTCGTATACGTTAATAAATAGGCAACCATTAGAAGGAATTATTTGTAAAGTGATCGGTGGAACTACGTTCTTCGCTCTCGGATGTAACATAACTATAGCAGGATCATTGGCTTTTGTAACTTACCTTCGTATATGTAAAAAATGTAATGTCAACTTGGGAAAGTACGATTATAGGCTGTTTCTTTCCATTGCATTATTTAATATTGGATTTACCATTCTTGCAATTCCATCCCTTGGCCCTGCTAAATATTGGTATGTTTTTATTTCTAAAGTATTTTCTTTAGTATTTAATAATGCGTGATAAAATTCAATATTTATAATTAATAGGTGTATTACTGGACAAAATCCAATAATATCGCTATTAATAGTTACTTTAAATTGCACAATATTTATGATTACTCTAATCTGCTACATTATGACTTTGCGAGAAATAAACAAACGGCAGAAACTTATTAAACAATATTCTCTCTCAGCTTCTAAAGTCAATTGGATAGAAATAATGGCTACAAGAAAAATTATTGGTTATATTTTAATTTATCTCATGCAGTGGACGCCCGTGGCGATTTATGTTGCCGGATTAATGTTTAATGTATGCACAATACGTTTAAATTTATATTTCACTCTTTACTGGAATTAAATCTAATTTTTCAATCTAATTTATTTATTTAGTATGATAGAGTATGGACGAACGTCATAGCAGTAATAACAATAAACATGGGCGGTGCAGCAAACATGGTTGCATATATTATAAACGAAAAATGGCGCGATGATTATAAATCTAGCTTAGACATGTCCTCTTCGTATAATACCGAAAGCAAAAATAATTCTAATTACAATAATTTATTGGCATCTCAAATAGAGATTGAAGAGGTCATTACTATTGAAATCAAGCAAGATATTATTTCTAGTTCACCAGCAGATGAAATGTTCGGTAATGTGACTGCTTTGAAATGAATTTAAGTCAATATAAAGTTCTAGTACAGAATGACACACTATTACTCTTGGCGACTTCAATAATAATACAAAACACTGCAAAAGAACTTCTAAATTGTTCTTCACCTTACAATCCTTATCTTCTTCTAGTCTTTTAGCATTAGTATATCAAGATCAAAGAATAATTAGTCAATTACAAAATATTTAAATCCAATAACGAGGCTATCAATTATATATATTTTCATCAAAACTCACTGTGAAATCAACTGTAATATATTTTTGTTTTTATTTACGTGTAACTTTTCAATAATGTAAATTACTTAGTCGTTGTTGAACAACGGATAGCATAATACAAGTAAATCATGTGATACTAAACGCATTGAACATCTGAATTTTTATTATACAGATTATTATTAGCCTAAATTTTATTATGAAAAATCTGTTTGCTACTTTTTTTTTAAATATATATACATATGCTAATCATTATTGAGATTACGTATATTGGAGCAACCTTAATAGTTTATCATGATTTAGAATTGTTATCTCGTTACTACCGATAGTTAAGAGTGGAGTAAGTAATTATCGGAAATAAATAGATAATGAAACTTGATCAATTTATACCCAATCATGATTTTTTTAATACTTGAATGACAATCTTAAAATCCTTTACTTATATATGCTATACAGTAGAATCAAATCCTACTTATTATTTGGGCGATCAATATGGCAACATATCCAAAGTTTTTGGCATGTTTTTTTTAAAAAAAATTGCTACGGACTATGAATATTTGAAATTTTGTAAAAACAATACTCGGTAGATATATGCAAATTTCAAAATAGTATTTATATGCTATACACAGAGCGACAATAAAATTAAAGGCGCCATTAATCGATTTAATAATGATCAAACTTCAAATATCGAGAAAAAATAACAATAAAAGAAGGCCAACTACTATATTTATTCGCATTTTCGGTAAAGATACAAACAATAAGATCAACAAATAAAATTTTATTACTTTTTATTGATCTAAAACACTTTATACCTTCTACTGAAAAATATGATCACCTTTAACATGTGTGTAGATTAGTGATGAGCAACGCGCATGATTATTTTTTATATACTTATCCGGCAAAGTAATAATGTTGGTAGCGGAATTTTTTGATAAATTTCGAAATATCCGAAACTCATAAGAAATTTCCGAAACTCAGGAAATTTAGAACTCATAAGAAATTCCGAAAAATCACATGCGCACATCACTAGTATAGATGAATTTCTAATACTGTAGGTATTTCATATTAAGGTTGATTGTCGAACATGACAAGATCAAATTTACAGCTTCAAATAGTTCTTGAATAATGCCATTATAACTGAAAAAAATAAAGCAATAGTCGCATCTTTATAACTCTGCCGTATCCGCAGACACATTCAACAGGATTATATCCACTAAGAATTTCATCTGTGCCTTTAACTTTCATAACTACATCATTTGTTTGAAAGTTTCACGAAGGAATGATGTAAAATTGTATAGATTATTTGTCACTGAATATTTATTATTCTTTTTATTAACTCATGTTGAAATTCAACAGCATGTTCTTCGCTAATAACTTTTGAAATTAGCTCTACCGTTCTGTATTGTTAAAAGATACGTGATGTGGAAAAATTGCTGATGATACAGGTCTATTCGGAGATATTAACTTCTTTTATCTACGATTTGTTGATATAGTTATAAATTGTCAATAACATCATAACCAGATATTTGAAAATAAACGGATAAGAGGAAAACAGCTCTGTAAAGTAGCCTTCATAGGCAAAAAAATTTCTTAAGACTAGTTTTTAGTATTAGATGATAGACCAGGATTTTGAGTAATTCCCTATTCGATAACATGATTCCAAATTTTTACATTTCTATTCGTAAATAATATATCGTTTAATAAAGTGACATTAAATCATTTTCTTAAATAGAAATAAAATTTTCTTAATCAAAAATCTTAACCGAGTGTTTTACCACAAAATATTGCACCAATTCTGCAATTCTTGAGGTTCATTTTGAAAACTTTTTTAATATACATAAACGTAAACGAAGTCAAGATGCTTTATTTTCTTCAGAAAAAAGCTTGTAAGTAATAAGCATAAAATCAAAAATAAATGGAGTATCAAAATTTTCTAACGAAGCTACACTGCATTAATACTTTTAGATACCTTGTAAGATTACAAATAAGAATATGTTATGTCGCTGCCGATATTAAGGGGTTTCAGACCTAAGGTTCAAGTTTCGGATTTCGAATTAAATTAGTGCCGTATTAATTTTGTAAACAGCGATCTATAAATCCTATTTAATTTTATTTGCAAACCTATTATATAATTATTGAAATTTCAAACCAAAAATAGGACTTTTCAAACTCCCACTTATTTTCAAATTAAGTTAACTCTGAAACCCCCATTAATATTAAATTGGCTTACACTAAAATTTTGATCTATATTTGTAAATATGAACTCACAAAATTCACTTTTTTTTGATTAACAATTCTAAATTTTAATCTAACCTTTAAAAAAGAAAACTAAAAAAAATAAACGCCTCCAAACTTTATTTTATAGCTATTTTCAAAAATGTGTAAACAGTCGCAGATCACTTTATCATGGAGGATTTACGACATTCCCCAGATTCCCTGAATTCTCACGACTCCGCATCAATCAAAATTTTAAGTTTTACTAACAGCTAATCTAAATTTCAAAATTTTTCCATTTTCTCATAAGTATATGCAAATAGTTGCATCTACTATAATATATAATAAAGTTAAAATTACCTAACCGTGAAGTTAATACAATAAGAGTCTATTCCGCTTTAGGAAAGCCAGTAGTATTGGTTACTATATAATTTGTAAATTAAAATCACGTGATGCATATAGATTACTATGATTCCAGTCCGCTTTAGCTGTAAATAATGCAAATCAAATTTATGTTTTCAAAAAGGTGTGAACTGTGCAGGTCACCATCACTGGTTAAAAAATCGTTTTAACTAAATAATAACTAGTTATTTTCTAGTACGTACGTACAAATAATAACTTATTTACTATATAATTACTATATAGGTAATATATATATGTCTAAAAATATATTAAACTACAAAAATATCTAGTAATTATATAGGAAATAAGTTATTATTTGTACTAGAAATAACTAGGTAGTATTTAGTTAAAATATGTTTTTTAACTGAAGTTTTAATTTTTACTAATATAATTTCCAAAATCTTCAATTTCCCACATAGGTATATGGAAATCGTTGTTCATACATTTTTTGAAAAAGGCTGCAAATTAGGAATCGATTTAGTCATGTTCTAAAATAGGGGGTTTCAGAGTTAACTTATTTTGAAAATAAGTGGGGGTTTGAAAGGTCTTATTTTTGGTTTGAAATTTCGAA